TCATTCATTCACTCACTCATTCATTCACTCACTCATTCATTCACTCATTCATTCATTCATTCACTCATTCATGGTGTAATTATCATAGAATATCAATGTTATCCTCTCCTTTTTATGACGCTTGGTCTTGCAACATCAAATAGCGACTGCTAGCCATGACTAGACAGTTCCTTTGCTACAAAAGCACGAAGCCATAAAGCCACTCACATCCTTTAAGGGCCTTTTCTCAACAAAACGGAAGCGGACTTTTCGGCGGACTCGGCGCCTGACAGCTGGAGCCCAAAGTGTTCACCACAAAGACATTGAGCTCTTCACTCAAGGTCGCGCGGGCATCGGCGAATAGCTTCTCCTGCCGAAGCTCATGTCTGGGAGGTCCATGGTGGTCCATGGGTAGCTGAACACAAGGGTCATTCACTTGGAATATGTCTGCTGGAATACTTCAGGATTGCTGCAACTGCATCTTCCGAACTTCATCCTTTCAGCTTCCGCTCTCATTGATGGTCTCTCTCTTCTCTCTCTCGCTCTCTTCTCTCTTCGCAAGGCCAAACATATGCCCGGTCCTTTAACACTGATGCCAAAGCCTTCATAGGGAAAGCACATCGCTTTCGCGGGGCAAACTTCAATTCATGAACCATCATTTGGGTGAATAGAGGACTGACCTCTCACAAGGATTCTCTTCCTAGTTTCTCTTCAAGGACATAAATAATCAAGCAATTGCATGGCATTAACAAATCGAACTGCCGGCGCAAGAGCGACTTCGCCAAGCGGCAGGCAAGGCCAGTGAGAGGATGAAGAGCACAGCCGGAGATGCATCGAAGCTCCGCAGTCTGAGACTACTGCCTGCAAACCCAGCGTAAAGGGCATCGCTACTAGGAGCAAGGACGCTACTAGTAACAAGTGCCTTACTAGTAGTAACAAGTGCCTTACTAGTAGTAACAAGAAGCTACTAGTAACAAAGGGCATCGCTACTAGGAGCAAGGACGCTACTAGGTTCCAAACATTTCAGAGGCACTTCAACACAAGGCTTGCCCATAAAGATGAGCGTGACACATATTAATGTCAGGTGGAATCTTGCCAAACCTTCCGCAACGTACACTTATGGATGTGGCTGAACATGGAGGTAGGTAAATACATGGGACAAGGGAGGTGAAACAAAAACTCAGCGCATTCTTCAGCACTTTGTTCGTCCATATTCAGCTCTAGCAGGTGGCCCTCTTGAGCTCGCTGCTTCGCCTGCAGAGGCAACCACACCCAGGACGCAAAGGGCGCAGCCTGAACAGATAGAAAACGTCCTCGAAAAGAGATTCCTGACAACAAAAGTATAGACTCCCCTTAAAGGCTTAGGCTCTTGAATGCTCGCGTCTAACATCATCTAACCAATCATTCAGCCATGGCATGGGCATGTAGTAACTTTCACGCAAATTGATGAGATTGCAACTTGACAACTCTACGATTTGTACCTATACCCTTGATACTCCGAAGGTACTCGCCTGACAGCTGGCTTTGAGAATATCTTCGCTTAAGCAGCATTTTGGAAAAGGCCATTTGGAAGACCTTGGGCATTGCTTTCTTTTGCTTTTAAATCGACAAGTCAGAGGCGTGATAAGTGGTAAAGTAAGAGGCTAGCGACTGTTGGCTGGTGTTTGAGCGCCTTTCTTTACACGACGTAATAATGTAACAGTTGCATTATTATGTAAGTAGTTGCATGTGTTTGTAACGAATTATATAGATGTGATCTGACAAGCAAAATATCGCTTCAACACAAGATCGCACGAGTGGAATCTGTGATTTGGCAGCGTGGTGGACCCTCATTGCCTACTGCTGCCTAGAGTCCAAGAAAAGCTTCGACAGCACAGGCAGAATTTCGCCTTGCAAAAAGCAAACTGACCCTGAGAACTTTCTTAGCCGTCATAGTGAGCTCCAAGCCTAGTCATGCAAGCCTTCCTGGCCTGAAACATTAAACATTTCAAAACCAAAAGGCCTGGCTTCTTAGTCGTTTTTTTTGGAGTTTCACATCTACTCACAAGACTCACACGTGGAAGAAAACAACCTGCTGACTCCGCCTTTTTTTCTCTCACCTACTGACGCTACAAGTCTCGCATGACTTCCGGTGCCTGGCAAGGACTTGGCGCTCAGCATCCCCAGCAGCACGGAGCCAGCTTCAAGAGCACCTCGAGATCTCCAGAGCACGCTGCTCCTAGATGCTCCTAGTAGTAAGGCCAGGAGCCCCTAGTAAGCTTCTTTGTTACTCATATAATCTTTGCCAATTCAAATTCACCAAAATGTCTTCAGGATCAGTCAAAGTGACGCATTTTGCCAGCGTAGATGCGGAGAGCTTGGATGAGTGAGAATTACCTAGAAACACTATGAAACACTCTTTTCACGGATAAGCTGCAGGATAAGTCATATACAGTAGGACTGGATCTTGCTCCATTTCTGGTTTTATGGTCTGCTAATTGAGGGGTACCCTGTTCTTGTAAACTATGCTTCTGGGATGTAATTGGGCTCTTGGGACATCTCCAAGTCTAAGTCTTCCCATCTTCACAAAAGCCCCATGCCCCAAGTCAGCCCCAGCACCAATCCAAGCGAAGGTCTGCCATCGACGTCCAGCAAAGGACAGCTGCCCATCTGAGATGGCGCCTGCCGGGAAAAATCTCTCCAGGGAGGTCGTCGCCATTTCCACCTTGCAGAACTCGAACCAAACCTATTAGGGGCCAGAGCAAAGCGTCCCCCACCACCAATCTAGTTCAACGTGGCAGGACTGTTTATACCCGAAAATGCAGGCCTCGGCTGCGGTTGAAGAGGAAGGCGCTCCAGTAGACAAAGACGTAGCCTTCGGGCTCAGCGCTCAGCAAAGTTATTGGCCCGTTCTCTCGGACAACGAATTGTGCGACCCACGGTTTCTAATGGGAAAACCGTTGGGCCCGAGGCCTGAGCAGCACCTGCCTCACTTTGACCGATCTTGAATACAGGGAGCATGTCTACGGCTTGCATCCGTCCACTGCCCCGCCTTGGACCTCCTTAAACATCTTGTTGAAAAGGATCCAAAAGGATCATATTCATAGAAAGGCAAGTTTCTGACCTCCCGAATCAATCCTGGATAGGGAGGAACTTGATGCCCAAGACACCGAAGGTGGTAAACTGCGCCAAGAAGAAGACGTAGTCACCCAAGGGCACGAGCGCCACTTTATAAAAGACCCGATTCACCTGGACATACGAAACACACGCGACATGTTCAACTACAGTACTAAAAGATTGTGCATATCTGTCTCCTTGATTTGCCACTCTTTGAAGACAAGAATGTGAAAAGTCCAAAAAAAAACGATGCATTCTCAGGAAGTGCAAATTCGTTTTGACAACCAACCAGCACATTAAGTAGCTTCCAAAGACCAACACTGTGGACGTCTTGTACTTCCCGCCGTGGCCAACACCGCAGTGAGGAGCATGAGTAGACCACCACCCCTGGGGTCAGGTCGTAACAGTCTTGTGCTGCGCCAAGGGTCCAAGCTTGGGAGCGGGTGGGATTTCTCACTTGTTTAGCTACGAAATACGGGAGGCTAAACAAAGGCACCATGAGATAGCTCCAGCATGAGCCCGCATGAGCTCAGGGAGGGGCATGGAAAAGAAACAGGGTGGGCGAACAGCAGCCTTCACTTCCCCAAATGCTCAAGAACGAGGAAAGGCTTGGAAAAACTGTAAATGAGACACCACCAGCATATCTACCAAGCCATGTGTCTTGCGCAGCAAGCTGGAACACTCATGATGGAGATCTGGTTGGGGTCTTTGAGGAACAGCAGACTCAGGATTTCCGCATTGCTGCATCAAGCCAAGGGACAGCATCGCTGAAGAAGGCGCAGGAAGATTTGCCCCTCAGCAACTGTCCAAGAAGGGCGCATCCTCCTCACTGTATATCTTTGATGTCAACTAACAAATTGTTTCTCTGATCTATACAGATCTGAAGAGACGGACCACGAAAGGAGAAAGGGGAACCACAAAAAGTAGAGAACAACTCTATAGAAATCCAACTAGCTTGGTTTTGTGTGCCCGTATTCAGCCGTAGTTGATTGCAGGATCCAACGCAACACAAGATTGGTCTGTGTTGGATAGTCTTGACACGCTCATGTCGTGGAGCCAAGTTGCATCGCCGGCGCAGTGCAGCTGTTAGCAGCACGGCCAGTATGGCTAAAAGGCCTCATGAAGCGAACATAAAAGAACTACCTGTCCAAGCGATGGCTTCGTTTCAGGGTTTTGTTGATACTGCAACATGTGGGTATGTTTCACAATGAGGTCGCCAATCCAAAATTTGGAACAAAGAGGGAACAATAACATGTCGTGAATCAACCATCGCAGCTGAAAGCTTTCTCTAATCTAAGACCGTGGCATCGCCATGGTGTCTCCGAGTCTTTCTCCATGGCGACAAATTTGGTGAAGGGTTGTCGTGTCAAGTGTTGTCCTGTAGTTCAGATTTCACCTTTGCTCTTGAGGTAACTTCTATCTGATGTCTGTGCATTTCTTTGGCCTCCTCCCATACGGTACCATACGCATGTGCGGAGTTCATATTGAACTACTGTAGTGATTCATGCATTATATTTCTTGATCATTCTTGATCTACAAAAGTCACTCTAATTAGAACGCTTTTGGGAACAAAAGCGGGCAGCAGCTCTTACACGCCTCACAAACCTTGTTCCCCCCTGGCATTTTCAATGCATTTTCTTTACATCATCCACAAACCCCAAAGGGCTGAAACATGTCGGGCAAACGCTTCCACTCGAATCGCCGGAGTTGGCGCCGGAGGCTGATAGGTTGCCTGGCAGAACGACACGACATCTATCGACATCTTGTCTGCCAACGAAGAATTGGCATGGCAGTGGCACCGCTGAACAAGTTGAGGTCCCAAGAGCGTTATTTGCAAGGCAACAAAAACCAAGGCTTGTCTATAACATCGACAAAAAGCAAGATTAGCTCAGGTGAAACAATCATACTTTTTGAGGGCGTTCTGCCGCAGTTTGTCAATCGAGCTCCGCTATTCGCAAACTAGGAGACAGGTGTCTCTGCGTTGCTTTCGCAGGCCGTACTGTACCAAGGCACCTCAATTACCTGCTTCCTGGTCAGAGGTCCAGAGGGTCAGGTTGTCTCGCAAAAGCTGCATGATCAACGTGGAATCTTTGTAGGAGTCCTCTGCCACGTTGTCGAGCTCTGCGATCGCATCTTCAAAAGCTGTGCGGGCCATTTTGCATGCTTCGTCAGGGTCATTCAGCACCTCGTACATGAAGACGGAGTAGTTCAAAGCCAAACCAAGGCGGATTGGGTGCGTCACAAGGAGATCTTTCTTGGCCACTTCTGCTGCCTCTGCATAGGCCTTACGTGCCTCTTCCGCTGCCTTGCTCTTCTCGTCACCGCTGCGGAACTCCGCAATGTAACCTGACGAAGTCGTAAAACTCAAAGAGCGGCAACTAAAATCTATACATTGTACGTACACACATATACATATATATATATATATATACTGTATATATATATATATTTATTTATACATACACATTCTGTCTACACCTACAGTAACTGTGGTGTCATGCTTCAAACATATGAGTACAACCGATAAAGGTGTGCTAATGCTTCACCGAGAGACGGTAGTAGTCAGCCTTCCTAACTTGTCGAACCATCTGGAAATGTACAATCTTTCCAACTAATTGACCCAACACGGGAAAACCAAAAGCTTGACATCCTGTTCTTAGCGGCATCTTCTGATAGAAGACCTTGGACTCTGCTTGTGTGGCCTTTGGGATAAGGCCCTGATCCAAGAGCTTCAAGATGGTGTCACAGATCTTCTGGAGCTCATTTTCCACCTGCAGCTTGGGCAAGACCATGAAACCATATCAAACCTCTTTTGAATCGTCATACTAGTAGTACCCTCTGCAACGCACGTCGCACACGGCGTGTTTCTGCTGTCGCAACGGCGTCGGATGACTGCATGGAATGATGCTCAACAAGTTTTTGAACTGTGCTCCACGGCACAATCAGGACGAACATGGCTATTCACAAAGCTACATGGATAATTTAAGAACAAGTAATTTGAAAACCATTCAACACCTCTGAAAGGGTGGTGACTTCACACATGACTGCAAACAACTGCAAAACAACTGCCACCAAATTGCCAATTGACTACAAAAGAGAAATTTGCCACCAGACCAGTTTACTACCGATGGCAACTCCCCTGACCCAGACTTGCAAATGATCTAAAATATTGCTATACATACACTGGAAACACGATCTGGTGGATGAAATGTTCAAGCATAGCATTTCCACATATTTCCACAAGTGTCCAACTTCTACAACGCCCCCACCTTGACACGGTAGTCCTTTGCATAGCCAGCTTGCGTCTCGTTGCCCTTGGATTTCTCCTTTTGCTCGACACTTGAAATGATGCGCCAGGCAGCACGGCGAGATCCAACCGTGTTCTTGTAGGCCACAGACAGCAAGTTGCGCTCTTCAACAGAGAGCTCCGAGCCATCATCTCCCACTGCCTTCCTTGGTTGATTTCAACTATCCACCAATACACTAGTGGGACAATGCTAAATTGTCATTCCCAACTGGGTGTGGACAACAAAAATTGCCAACCACCACCCAGCTTCATATAATCCGCCATTTCATCGTACCTCTGACGCGGTTGAGTTTGACAAAGTTGGAAGTGTATCGATCGAGTCGCAGTGAGAAATGCGTATCTCGTGCTGTCACTGTCCCAACGACTCTAATGAGACGCTTCTCCGAACATGCATGTGAGACATGCTTGGAAGACACTTATTAGGCAGTCTGCAAAAAAACACGATGTGCGACACTCTTGCGTCTTACAAGTGACCACATCACAATTCATATGCCACATATTCACCACATCATCACAGATTTCTTTTTTTGTGCTTTTCTGTCCTATAATGCACATATTATAGTATAGCAGTGCAACATAGTGCAACCCTGACTCCGCCAAAAGGGACCCCCTTAGTGACATTCACACAAGCACGGTGCTATACCAGAATCTGCACCGCGTCCTGCACTTGGCACAGTGGCTTCGACACCAAATCTACATGCTACAGCGAAACATAACATAGACTATACGCCGCACAAAACCTCGTGCCATCCAATGTAACAATTCTATGGTATTTCACACACACGGGACGCATGTGGCTTCATCCCAGAAGACCCGGTTGCGATCACAAGAATGTGCTCCTACTTGCAATGTTGAAGGGGAACCCTTCGCTATGCATTCCGGAAGTTAGGGGCATTGTTCACAATGAATTAGGGCCATTGCTATTAGGCTGGAGGCCATTTGCTATCGAGGTTGGAGGCCACCGCTAGGGGTGCATTGCCCTCAATTAATTAGGGCCATTGCTAGTAGGTTGGAGGCCATTGCTATCGAGGTTGGAGGCCATTGCTAGGAGGTTGGAGGCCATTGCTTATCGAGGTTGGAGGCCATCGCTAGTAGGTGCATTGCCCACAATTCATTATATAGGCATCCAAAAAATGGCCCGCCTCTCAGCCTGCTCAGCGAGCTTGGCGAAGTACACATCCTTCTCACGAGGCATGCCTATAGGCTTTGAAGATGCTCACAGGCACAAATTGCACACGCAGATTTCCCGACAAGCTTGAGCCAAAGAAAGCAAGAACACAACTAATTGCTTCATAGCTATCTTCCACATCTGGCACGAACTTATGGTCGATGCCACACTTTACCACAATGTGCCACAGCCAGCTCCCATACCTTCGTGGGTTCGGTCTTGAGGCGCTTGGCCAACACCCGCATTAGAGAGGGCACCTGAGGGGTTCAACGAACCCCTCACACTCTGGTCACTCGGTCCGAATTGACTCAACGCCGAAACAGGACCAAACAGGCCTAAACGCTGACTACATGTTATATCACCTTTGCCAGTCACATCCGTCCACTTAAAAAAAATACTTGGAGCATCATACATGATAATACATGTGTTCTCCCCACACTGCGTGATCTGCAAGGTCTTCTCTGTCTGGGCCCCAACATTTCCCATCAAGGCGGCATGCTCCCCAGCATATCCAGATGCCTCCGGCGTGAACAAACGTCCGGTGCAAACTGGCAACTGGGTCCCGCTGGCATCTCGCAAAGGCTGGTTCTTGACCAAAATCCATCAGCAGGAGATTTAAACAAAAGGATTGCTTTTTCAAATCTATATATATATAATATATATGTCATATATTTAGCGTACGTTCTGTCGTAAAATAGGCGCTGATCTGAGAATGCGCAGGACCCCCAGTCCATCCCAGCCCATATTATCATTCATGCTTGGGAGTTCTTGACAATGCCTCAAGAAAGTTGGAGAGGAGAGTCTCATTGGACTGCAACGGCTCCAGAATCATCCTGTTCACCTCATAAAGCAAATCTTGGTCAGGCACAAAGAGGCATCATCCAACTCACCAACAATCTGAACAGCTTTTTCTCAAACAAACTTGGGTGTCGATCTTCTGATGTGCCACACGCAAACCTACTGGCCGAGAGGGAAGTGAACTAAACGCAAAGAACATCAAAGGACTGGAATCCAAACTCTGAGCTTCCAGGCTTCCAGATTCAATTGGAATGGCCTCGGCTCTTTTTTGATGAAAAAAATGACCCGTGGAACGAGAACTGCCGTACGATTTGAGCACCAAATGGCGTTCATCATCTTTCATCCTTATATAACTTATAACATGCAAGAACATATGAAGGTGTACTATACTACAGTAAGTAGAATTATGCATAACATCTGCAAGCTCCAATCAGTACCCAATTCCTTCTTGCTCAATGCTCAAGCACGCACGCATCAACGTCTTTGGATTCTTTCGTTTCAGGATAAGCACCTGCCTGTAAACCGCTGAGGGACAGCAAAGGGGAAAACATAGGTTGTAATGTTGTAACATGTGATCCGTTGTCAACGCAGCCTCCGAAAAACACACAGAAAACGAGACTGGCCGAGAAGCTCCGGAAGGTTTGCCAGGAGCTGCCCAGCCACTGGAGCAAAGGCCTGGTTTGAGATGATCAAACCGCCGGAGATTAAAGATGTCGTGGGATCCATCTCAGTGGAAATCTGGGAACATCTGGGGAAGCACAGCGGAACACCAAGGGCTGCGAGGTAGCCTTTACAGCTTTGACTTTGACCATATTTTATGGATCCAGGAATGAGGTACAAAAGCCCCACAAATGAGCTCGTCAGCTCCTTACAAAGCTAGACTTTCGGGCTTCAGGTTCTATTGGCCACAGAAAACTCGATCCCATTAATCCAGTCGTGCTTGCGGTGAAAGCTACACACATGATAGTATGATCGAGGTGAACTCGAAGAGTCTGGTGGTGCACCTGAAGGGAACTGTTCTCTCACCAACCTAGAGACATTAAAATGTTTAAAATGTCCACACAGCGCAAGTTTCTCTGCCTAGAGTCATCCGCAGAAAGCACACACACGCACAATTTGCACGATATTCTCAATCAGGGATTCACTAAAATAATCTAAATTCATGTAACATCTCTCCAGTATATATATATATAGAATATATTTAGAGATCACTTCGCTCAGGCCCTCCACACCTCTTTGAGCTGCTCACAAACCTTGCTATAGCTAGGCTTCAATGCCTCCCAACTGAGGATCGCTTCGCCCCGGAAACAAACGAAACGAGCAAAACAAACACGCTCCACCTTCTAGGGGGTTCTGTAACGCTGGAGTATGCAGCCCTAGCGAGTCCCAAACCTTTTCACACAGCTCTTTGGCGCATCTGCTGCATCCTTTTTTGGCCATCAGTGACAAAGCAAGCACATTGTACAATACCACCACGTGAAGTATTAAAAGCAAGGATGCACGAAGTGACTCAACATGCCGAATGGCTTTGCTTTTAAGTCTAGAAACATCTATTGTATATTCAGCCTTTGTTCGTTTTGGATCGTTTTGGTACGTATTGAAGATGATTTAGGCAAGTCACTGACTTCAAACGATACGCTCTGCCTCCAAAGGATTACACCTCATCCCTCCAGAGCTGTGGATAAACGCCAGCATTGCCTTCCGATGTACGTCCAAAGTGAGCGCTAGGCATCCCTCGACTGTCCAATACTTTCGCTCGGTCGGATTATTGCAACAGTTGCTTAATGCAATTGAAGGAGGTATCATGAACAAGAAGCTACTAGGGGCTCCTGGCATCGCTACTAGGAGCAAGGACACGCCCTACTAGGGGCTCCCAGCCGTACTACTAGGAGCAAGTAGCTAGTTTGGACGAACAAAAATAAACATAACATAGAGGGCACAGCTTCGTGTTAAGGGCACAGCCTCGGCTGCTCCCGTAGGCTCCATCGACATCAAGGCCCCCTCAAAGGCCTGAATCCAACAGGTGTTCATCTACTTGTGCTTTTCCAGTGGACTTTCAGGTGCTGTGCACACGGTATGACATAGTATTATAGTATGACATAGTCACTAAGTTCCTTTGGTATCCCAAAAATACTGGGAGAGCTCTCAGACTCTCCTCACAGCCTTGTCCCTTCTTTCCGCACCTCACAGGTTCCCCTGGCCAGGTCCAGCTTCAAGAAGCGCCGTCCCGGCAGCTCAAAGATGCCCAAACCCAAGCGCGGCCTATCCCCGGCAAATCAGTTCTTCGCTCATGGAACTTCAGAAGTCTGGGTTGCTGTGTTCTTTGCTCAAAATGTGTAATTTGAGCTTGAACATGATAAGTCCTTCAACAACATCTCTCAAGCAGAAAGCCACCAAGACAGCGAATTACATGGCATTAATGCATGGAATCCTTTTCACGCGGACATTGTGCACTGGGGTTCAAGGGCTGAAAAAACACAAGCACGGTCTGAGGTTTCTGACGCAGTACGTTGCAAGAACTCCCGCAAAGATCCAACCCTGAGTGCGCAGTCAGGCACTTTGACGGCCCTAACTTCCGCGAGCTGTGAAGTACCAAAATGTACAAAAGCTGTTGTGACTTGTCACGTCTGGTTACAAGTGCCTCGCTAGTAGTAACAGGTGCCTTACTAGTAGTAACAAAGAAGCCATTAGAATTAATTCAATACCTATCCTCTTCTTGGGAGGACATGCAACGAAAAGTGCTTTGATGCGATACGGACATTCTCAAGGTGCCCCTGCGTTACGAGAAAGACTGCGTCCCAATGAAGCCACTGCCGCAAGTCCGTCATGGATGGCGCGACCTTCGTTAGCAGTGTCACAAATTGGAATGGAGGACATGTCTGTGACTTTGGGTTTTTTTTGATCTTTTTTGTATCTAGTTGTATTAGGTTTATCCAACAGTGATCAGGAAGCCTGTGAACCCGAACCCGAGGCATCGTTTTGCGCAAGGGTAACTAACACTTTACACATTCGTTCCAAAATGAAATTGACAACCTAACCATAGCAGTTTCCTGATCCAGAAACTTCCATTGTACCAGTTGGCAAAATGTCGTGGGGCAAGATCCAACGCTTTCAACAGATTGTGAACCCTGAACTCATTAGCAATGCGACAGGCAACAAAAACAGCAAAAGCTGGTTGTAGGAGACTTGCATGAACCGAGAGCAGTACCTGCAATGCTCGTGCGGCAGCCTGCCAGCATTAACATGGGCCATGGAAGAGTACAGGTTGGGAAACGTTCTGATGGGTTTCGCCCGTATTGAGCGCCTGACACAATTAACCCATCTCAGTATGTCTCTGTCTTGGATAAATAGAAGACACATGCAAACATGATATGAACCTGCTTGAAAAAAGGAACCTGAGAAACTGCATGAAACATGAAACTGGCCAGCTTAAAAAGGATGTCTTTAACTGGCCGTGGACCATTCAGACTGGTCAACTGGCGGGGGACAGGCCTCTTCCCAGCCATCTTCTGCTAAGGAGCCCAAAGGCGTCGCCTGTCCAAACCAAGCTGTGGTGCTCGGTGCTTTGATAGAACCACCAATTCTCAAAGCCTCACCGACAAAACTTGCCGCTCTAGTCCAGATTAGTCCAGTTTCTTGCAGTTGCTACTTGCATCTACTTGCCAATTTGCCAGTGATTCGCCTGCCTGCACCTCTGTGATCGTATGCCAGGGCCAAGAGGCAGCAATAGCCGTCATGACGGCTGCTTGTTGTGACTGGCAACGAAGCAACCCCAAACATGCACTGCCAAGATCGAGGGACTGACTTGGCGAAGAACGGAGCCACAAGAAGTCAGTGATCCCAATATATACAATATACATATATATATAGTGTATAATAGTATGAATGTGTGATTGATGTCCATAGATGATCACCATCCAGATGCCAGAATTATGCATGACCTCAGTGGAACCCTAGGGAATTGCAAATAGATCGAAATAAGACTTCTCTGACTTGCATCTTGGACCCCCCCAAAATAACTCAACATGCTGAGCAAGTCTTGTGGCGACACCTGCTCAGGGAGATCCTGAATGATTCTGCTCGCAATTGCCGACCAGTCAGAGTCCTGACACAGGGCACAGGTAAGAACACAAACTGATTCTCTAGCTTTCGATTTAGACCGAAAGACCATGAATGACCAAACTGCAAACATCGCTCCGAGTTTACATCGCCTCTTTTTTTGCAGCGCGAGTCGGATGACTCGGATGAGTCGGCTACACCAAGCGCTGTCCCTGGCCGCTGAACGGAACGAAGCCTGGA